ATAGATGGACACTCCCAGTTTGCTCCAGTTTTAATGCTACCCATAAATAATATACCAATGTATTGTTTATGTGATGGCAAAATATGTCAAGACCAAAATACAACAAAAGACCTAAAACAAGTCTGCTATTTGCACTTTTGCCTCAGGATACCCGGTAAGCTGGCTTCCCTCTCCATGATGCCAAAGGCCCTGCCAGCTCTACGAGGAAGCAGGTTTTGCTGCCGATTCTTACAGACTGAGAAAAGACTCTCGGGGCTGCCGAGGACTCTGTTACAGGACACTACCAGGCAGCTGTGCCCACAGACACCACACATGCTCTCACACCGGAACACCTGGCTGCTCACGCTGCAGCTCCTGGGGGTTACCTGTCTGATCCTCCAGTAGGTAATACTGTTTCATGAGCTGCCAGTGGGCCTGCAGAGCCTTGGCAGTACGGGCCAGGTAGAAGGCATCAGGGTGTCTGTGCAGCAGGTCCTGGAAGGTTTCCAAGGTGGGCTGGCTGGTCTGGAGATGAAAGGTACCCTCTTCATGCCAGGGTTGTCTCATTCCCACCCCATCTCTGTCCCCAGGCCTTCCCAAGACCCATCCCAAAGGCCACTGCAGATGTCTTCACCTGCATGTGTGTGTGCAGACCGCAGACGGGGCAGGCAGGACCCCCTCCCACGAGCCGTTTCCCACGTGGTCCAGCTTGTACCCTGTCCACGCCTCCACTTACCGATCCCACTTTGCTCAGCAGCTGCTCCTCAGCCTTGCTGAACAGGGCCTTGCTCTGAATGGCTGCAATAGCTTCTGGGTGCAACTGCCTCATGGCCTGACAAGCCAGTCTGCGCATGGAAAGAAATGTAGGGTAGAGCTGAAAGGAAGGAGTCAAGCAGTCTGGGATTCTTACTACCCACCCCCCCCAAAACTATAAGCCTTTGGAATTTAGAGATCCCAAGCCTAGAGGTCCCTGGTAGAAATAACAGGAGGCTTAGCCCAGCACCAGGTCATGGTCCAGTAAAAGAAGCAGCAACTCAAGAAATGGAAGCCACACTCTCTAAAGACCCAAGCTGGTGGCACATACTTGTAATTCCAGCCAGCAGGAGATGGAGATAGGAGGACTGCTCAAAGTTCAAGGCCAGCCTGGTCTACAGAGTAAGCTCTAAATCAGCCACACACCAGACCCAAACTCAAAACAGGCAAACAAGAGACCCAGTTCCAAGACACCCTGGGACCAGCCAGGACTCTCTGACCCCTCCACAGTACACGGCTGAAGCTCCACTCACTAACCACTGTCTACTGCCTCCTTTACCTCAAGCTGGTCTCTCAGGGCTATGGCTACAGCCTGAGTGGGTGGCAGGGCTGCGGAGGAGTAGAAGATGGGTGTTCAGATTCAAACCAAGCTTTAAGGACACTGAAGTAAGTGACAGGGGAGGAGGAGGGAGAGGAGGAGGACAATGTTTATGTGCATGAGCTTATTTGAAACGATGCTAAAACTAGAAGGGTCTTGAGGCTCATTTATTCCAGTACTCTCTTTCCTTTTTGCTTGCTTGTTTGTTTTCATGACAGGGTTTCTCTGTGTAGCCCTGGCTGTCCTGAATTCTCTCTGTAGAGCTGGCTGGCCTCTAACTCAGACACCTGCCTGCCTCTGCCTCCTGACATCTGGGGGCTCAGTGCCTTCTTCATATAAGGAGATCTGAGAGCCAGTGTGGACAAGCTCAGAGGTGACACAAGGCACACACTGGAACTGGGGCTCCTGGCACTTACGTCCTCCACTGCCTTCTGGCCTCCACCTGGCACTGAAAGGAGCTAGAGGAAGAAGCTTCTCCGTTAACACCTCCCCAGACTATCACAGAGGCCGCAAGGCCCCACAGTCCTGCCTCCTAAGACCCTCCTTCGGGCCCTGGTAGATGCTGGCCCTCCTGCACCTAGTTCTCCATTTGGGTGGCCCCCAGCCCTGCCCTCTCCTGGAGCTGGCCCACTCACTTGGAGATGACAGGGTCGTAGAGCAGGGCGTACCAGCGCTCTTGAACTTCTCGAAGGGTGAAGCGGCAGCTGAACTTCACGCCCAGGTGGACAGACGTCAGGTCATTGGTCTGCAAGAGCCCAGACTGGTTACTCCAGCCTCTGCACTGGGAAGAAGCCTTCCCTTGGAAGCCATAGGGTCCTGCTAAGCTACTATGGGGGCTGGGAATTGGAGGGTAGAGCCCCAGTCCTGTGGTGGGTGAACTACCTGCAACACAGCGTTGATGAGCAGGAGGTCATCTGCAGGCTTCCATCGGCCCAGATCCTTGGTCACCTGCAGTGGCTGTTTGCTTTTCTTCACACGCTTGGTGAGTCCAGGGGTCGGGGCGGGGCTGGGTGGCACAGGAGTACTAGGAGCCTTGGATACCTGGGTAGAGGGCAAGATCACAACGAACTCAAAGCTGGTACCAGAGAAGCTGGGGCTTCAGACCTACTGCTTCGCACACTATGACAGCTGCAGGCTCAGACAACACCAGGGAGCCAAGCTGAGACGCGGCTTTCCAACACCCACCCCCACCATTACGTCGCCACCATTCTTGACCAGATGGGGTCTTCTCTCTGTGTGTGGTACCCTCAACCCCAGAAGGGAGGGTGGGTGGGGAGTACACCAGGGAACTACTCTTGCTGGTGTACTGTCTGGGGCCAGAGCAACGCCACCTGGGGGTTATTTTTACACCCTGTAATGCTGGGAACAAGCTGTCTGCTCCCAGAATAGATACATGCTCCCTGCCTCCCACACCGAATGTGATACAGGATGCAGTAGCAGAGTGAGGAATGCAGCAAGAAAGGGAGTAGGGAGAGATGGGGGAGGTAGCGAGTGGGGGCTGGGGCAGCTCGCTCCTCTGATAGGCCTCATCCATGGGGGACACACAAAGCCCAGTGCCCTCTGGCCCCATGTTGCACCCAGCTCCTTACCTTCTTCTTCTCACTGGAGGAGGGCTCACTCCCTGAGCAGCGGCCTGATTCCACTCCACTGGTCCCCTTCACTCGGGTAGAGGATTTGGCCAGACTGCTCTCTACAAGCTCATCATCAAATTTTTTCCTTTTGATGAACCTGTAGGAGGTCCTGCACTTTTAGCTACTGGTAGCTGCATGGTACCTCAGGCAGCTCCACACAGCAGGCTCCTAGTGGGAACCAACCCTTGACTTTCCACCAGGGCCTGGCTCAGTGGACATGGAATAGCCAAGCACTAGCCCTCAGAGATGACAGGCAAGCCCCCCACCTTCAGTGCTACAGGGAGGGATGGGCAGGGAAAGGAAAGAGGCTCAAGGCTCCGCCTCCACCCAAGGCAGGCTCAGACGGCCACTCCCAACAGAGGCTGATACACAGAGGCTGATACAGAGGCACCTAAGCCCACAAGCCTTCCCCTTCCCAGTCCCCCTGAGGCCAGACTACCTGGAAGAGCTTCTCCGTTTAGGGATAGTACCCAGGGCCTGGGAGGAGGCTCGCTTCTGTCCTGCCAGGGACTCTTCATCCTCTGAGCGGCTGGCAGTGCCTGATGCCATGAGGGATGAATCTAGCAGACCCTGAGAATCTGGAGAAAGAGAAATGGCAGACTCAGGCTTCCCAAGCGTCCTCTGCACAGGGACCCCTTTCTTCAGCCTGCTCCTTGCCAGCCCCTCCAGCCCTTTCCCTGCCTCCCTGACGCTTGAGGCTTTAAGGTGGGAGTTCCTTAGCCATCCAGATCCCCTCTGGGCTCAGACCTGGCCCAGACCTTCCACGCTGGGCAGTTGTCCCGGTGCCACGTGTCATATTGTGCAGCACATGGCGCTCAGGTTAGGCTGGTGATGCCGACACACCAGGCTCTGGGCATAACTGTTCCCTCTGCCATCAAAATGCAGCGTGCCAAAGAGCAGCAGCACAAGAGCAAGTCAGTCAACTGTGGCTCTGCCAAGAGGTGCGTGGGCAGTGCTGGCCCAGGGGAGGTGGTATTGCCCAGCTGGGACTGGGGCAGAATCAGGAGGTGCTTGGTGACCGAGCATTTGCGGAGCTGGCCCAGCCTCACACTACCTTTGTCCATCCTCTCACAGTCCCAAAGCCACTGGCTCCAAACCACAGGGATGGGAGGAACGGTCCCACAGGCTCATCCAAGAGTCTGACCAAGTGAGCTTAGAGGCCGAGAAGAGAGTCTGCCAAGGAGAAATAAGGCTCCCTCAGGTTTCCAACCGGCCAAATCTACTTACCAATTCCTCACATTTGCTCATGGCCCCATCTCCTGAGGATATTTATAGTGGGAAGAGTCATCAAGACCCACTCTCAATTACACTTAAAGATCAGTAGCTACATAGCCTGGGTGATAGTTCCTCCCCTACTGGGAGGCACAGGCAGAAGGATCTCTGTCGAGTTTGAGGCCAGCCTGGTCTACACAGCAAGTCAGGGTTATACAGTGAAACCCTGCTTCAAAAAATAAAACCAAAAACGTAAGTAGCCATGTGGAAGTCACCGAGACTTTCAGGAGTATCATAAAAGCTGTGGATACAAGACATACTAGATTCAGAGACCCTATAATTTTACCAGTAAGTCCCAAATGAAGCATCTTGACTGTTAACTAGAAAGGACCAAGGGATTCTTGATTCTTCTCCCAGGCCGCCGCTGCCGCCTCCGCTGGGGAAGGCAGACAGAATTCCAATGTCTCAATACCTTTTTCACCCTTCCACATGCAGCTTTTACTTAGGTGGGTGGTACCTCCTAAGATTACAAAGTGGTTTGGGCCTGGCGTTGTGGGCGCCCGCCTGTAATCCCAGCACTCTAGGAGGCGGAAGTCGGAGCTCTGTGAGTTCGAGGCCAACGTGGTCTACAAAGCAAGCCCAGGACAGCCAAGTCTACCTTGAGAAAACTCTTGTCTCGAAAACAAAACAAAACAAAAAAGGGGATTTGTGGACAGAGTTGGGACACCAGGTTCTAACCCAGAGAAAACTCAGGTACTGGACTTCCTGGAGGGCTGCAAGCAGGCCCCGCCCCTTCTGACTCCGGCATCTATTAGAGGAAAGTTCCGGCTCTGCCCGCAAGGACGCTCCTCGCCCTGCTCCGTAGGTCACGGCTGGGAAACGTGGGCACCACGGAAGAGGGTGAAGGTGCCCAGTCCCACAAGCAACGAAGGCAAACTCTCTGCCCTCCTTCCCGGCTCTCCGGCCCTCCTCCCGCGAGAGCACACCCATGGTGAGGGATCAGTCCAGGTCTGTTTCAGGGACTCTGGGGAGGAGTGGCAATTCGGTCAGCTCTGCAGCTCTTAGTAATGCACCGGTAACACCACGGTGCTCTCGCAGTCTGGCTCTGAGCCCCACGGGCGACAGGGACCCACGAGCAACAACCAGCCAAGTCGCACCACCTTTGCGCATGCGTAACACCGCAGGCCAGCGTCTAGCCCGGTCGGACTCACGCATGCGCAGATTTTTCGGGGCGATACCGGGGCGGGGCCCCAAATCTTGTGGGGTTGTGCCCCGCGGCCCATTGGGAAACTCCATTTCACCCCCAGGTCTACTCAGAACACTAGGAGACGAACCGCGAAGCCTCACCATTCCTAGGCTGCCAGCTCCAACAATTTCTCCGCGGCGACAGCAGGAGCCGCAGGGCCAAAGCCGGCTTCCGTGAGATACATCTACTTCCGGGTTACGGACAAGGGGTTGGACAATCTCTTCCGGTTCGTGAGTGAAAGGGGCGGGGCGGTGGCCACGGAGTCGCGGGAAGCCGGAAGTGAAGTTTTCCCGGTTGGAAAAAGCACGTTGGGAGGCTTTAGGCATTAGGTAATTACGGGAACCAGGGAGGCTTGCCGGTCCGAGCGAGTAGCGGGGCCTTGTGGTGAGGCAGCCTAGGCGACGCTGGGAGGAGCGGGACCGCCACGTGAAGTTGAGCTTCGCATTTGCACTGAGCTTGGAGGGTCTCCCAGGACCAAATTTTGTATTGTTTTATCTGCCGGTGCTTTTAGGTAAAGTATTCTGACAGGCACTTTGCTAAGCCCAGGCCGGGGAGAAGATCTTGAAGAGCTTGCTCTAGCTGGGGAGATGTGCACAGGAAGACTCATGTCTAAGGAGGGGATGCTGGATGGTGAGCGGGTTCCAAAGGAAGCACTTCCAGGGAAGTGGAGGCCCAGTCGGTTACAGCAGATGGACTCCATCTAGACTGCCGGGGGGCAGTCGTGGGTAGCTGGGAGACCAACAGAATCGCTATTTTGGAAGAAAGAACTGGTTCCCAGGGAACAGGGAACGTCGGCAGTTTGGGGCTTTGAGAGATGCCTGGGAAACCCAGAGAAACTCGGCTCTAATGGCTCTGTTTGTTTCATGCCCCCTTTGAGGACTACAAAAGTGTAGCAGCTCTGACTGGTGAAGCTCCCTGGAAGAGCGTTTGCCTTGTGTGCCTGACATAATCGGTGTCAGATGGACGGCTTGCCCATGCTCACCCTGACGGTTTACTCTCAGCTTTAAGTCTCCACTTAATTTACTCTGACGATCTTATTTGATGAGTATATACTTGCTTTATCTCCCCCAAAACATAAAGTTTTCTAGTACACAGTGTGCTGGTTAGACTTTTTTTTTTTGTCAACGTGACACGAGTCATTTTCGAAGAGGGAACCTCGATTGAGAAAATGCCTACATCCGATTGGCCAGTGGGCAAGACTGTGGGCATTGTCTTGATTGGATCGATGTGGGAGGACTATGCCTACTGTGGGCATTATAACCCCTGGGCAGGTGGTCCTGCTTGGTAAATGAAGGCAAGATGAGCAAGCAAAGGAGAGTTTGTCAGTAAAGAGCCATTCTCCGTCATTTCTGCCCCAGTGCCTGCCTTGAGGTTTCTGCCCTTCGACATTCCTTTGTGATGGAGTGTGACTTAAAAGCTGTAAGATGAAGTAAACCTTTCTTTCCCAAGTTGATTTTAGTCAAAGTGTTTTGATCACAGCAACAAAAAACCAACTAGGACAGTCTGGCGCATTGTGCTAAATATGGTTTAGTATCTATGCTACACAGGACTTAGTTGGGTACTCTTCTCTAAAGGGGTAATTTTTTTAAACTAGGAATGGAACACCTGCTGCATGCCAGGTAAGCACTGTATCTCTGTGAGAAAAAAAGAAACACCATTTTGCCTTCCGGACTCTGTCTTGTAACTTACTCAGGGTGAACTGGTTCCCCCACCCAATTCCAGGAAAAAACACAGACTGTATCTTGGTAAGAACAGAAGTTCACCCACCTGGGGGCAGCCAATCAGGTCCTGAGGCTAAGCCCCCACCTAGCTCCAGATGTTCCTTTTAGATACCTAGCTTCCCCCTGCCATTTGGCCCAAACCAACTGTCTCTTCTTGCCCCAACCAATGATTTTAAAAATCAGCAGGCTTGCAACACTCCTACCCTATCAAGTAGCACCAAGGCTTCGAATTCCCCGCTTGTGGCTTTTCCCTTTAAAAGCCCTGACTCCCCTAGGCTTGGGGCCACTCTCCTAAACCTGTTGAGTCAGGGACAGTTTGTGACCCGAGCTCGAGGTTGCAATAAAGGCCCTTGTGTGTTTGCATTGGACTTGTGTTCTTGGTGGTCCTCTGGGGGTCTCATGATCTGGGCATATCACCTCCAAGCCACGTCACTAGCCCTAACAAGGGGTCAGTCTGGCAAAGGAAACCTAAGGAAAGGAAGTAGTTATTTTAACTCACAGGTTTTTGTTTTTTTCTTTTGGGTGGGGTGTGGGGTTGGGGGCCAAACATGATGGCAGAAGAGGCGCCGTGGTGTGGTTTTTTTTTTTTTTTTTCCTCCGGTTGTGTCCCGAGTTTGGAAGTGCAGAGAGAGATGAAGCATTGGTGCTCTGCCTGCTGCCTCCTTTCTGTTCAGTCTGTAATCTGAGCCCAGGGAATGATGTCACTTAAATTTAGGGTTGGGTCTTCCCATCACAGTTAAACCCCCAGGAGCAGCCTCACAGATAACTCCAGAGTTTTTGTTAGGTGACTTTTAAGTGAGGTTCAGTTGATAAAACAACTATCACAGATCCACCCCTGACACCCAAGCTGTACTACCTGCTGACCTGTGCTGCCACTAGAACACTGACAAACACTGAGCCAGGGTTTCTCTGTGTAGCTTTGGCTGTCCTATAACTTGTTATGTAGGCCTTGAACTTACAGAGCTCCATCTGTCTCTGCCTCCCGAGTGCTAGGGTTAATGGCATATGTCACCATACCCAACTATTTGGTTTTTGAGACAGGGTGTCATGTAGTCCCAGCTGGTCTCAGACTCAAGGTATCCAAAGATGACCTTAAATCCCTCATCCTCCTGTCTCTACCTCCCCAGTGCTGGGATTACAGGCATGTGCCACCATTCCTGGTTTTAATGTGGTGCTGGGTATCAAACCCATGGCTTTGTGCATGCTGTATAAGCACTCTACCAGATGAGCTATTTCCCCAACCCTGGGAATGTCACTTTTCAATCAGAACAACATCCCCTGAAGTCTCATGTTTATTTTTTTGAATGTGTGATTTCTTGCTGAACATGATTTGTAGGATATAGGAGAGCACAGTGGAAGCCCTCAGGACTGCAGGGTCTTTCCAGGGGACCACAATTGGAGGTACAATTGGAGATCAGGGATGAGTTAGTTCTCGGCTACCATGCCTTCAAACTCAACGACATTAAACTTGGTGAAGCCTCACTTCTTTGAGATATGGATCTTCTAGATTCCAGGGAACTTAAACTTGACTCTATGCAGGGCCTTAACATGTTTCTCATTCTGAAACTTGATGCAGAAGGACATGGTGACCTGGCCAATGTGGACCCTGCCTGCTGTGTCCTGGTGCTTCCCAGAGGCACCTTGCATGCTTGTCTGAAGCCTAGACTGGGCATAGTATTGAGATCAGAGAATGACTAGCCCCTAGAAAATTGCCTCCAAGGTCCCTTAGGGCAGCCCACATAGGCAGCAGGTTGCACGTGCTACCAAGGAGGCTGCTGCAGCCATTGCACAGCCCTCCGTGAAGAAGGGGCCTGGTCACCGCTGGCTACAGTCATGTTCATTTCTTCTTCCTTGTTTTATTGTTTGCTTGTTTTTAGAGACAGGGTCTCTCTACATCACCCTGGCTATTCTAGAACTCACTTGGTAGACAGGGCTCCTATTGAAGAGTGCTGGGATTAACAGCCTGTGCCACCACACCTGGCTTCATGTTCGTTTCTTAATGCAAAATGCAGTCATGTAATCTTAAAAGACCGCAAAGTCTTAACACTTTTGAAATTATTCAAGAGTATAATGCAAAGTCTTTTCTAAGACTCGGGCAATCTCTTAACTGTGAGCCTCTGTAAAATAAAATACAAGTTACTTACACTGTACAATGGCCCAGAGTAAATATTTCCAGACCAGAGTGCTGGCAATGCAGGGGCGATCTGGCCAGTGGCTGGAGAGGTGGTTCAGTTGATGAAGTGCTTGCTGGGAAAGACCAGGCCAGCACTGAAACCCAGCCGGCCAGCACTCTTACAGCTCCATGTCTGGACTGTTAACTCCGATGAAACCATCTGGGTTCCAGCGCTCTGTGGCCCCAGCTTTGCCTCAGCACATGCAGCTTTTCTGTTGCGCCAGCTCCGCTCTCTGCCTGTAGCTTTCCTTAGCAGATGCCCCAGTCCTAGAACCTCTACCATCCGTTGCAACTTGTGTATCGTCTAGATATTTGTCCAGGGAACCTGACCCCGCTATACCTTGCATGGCCTGAAAGACTTCCTGGAACCCTGCTATGAGCTTCCGTGGCTCCATAACTCTTGCACTATGTATGCCTATAAAACTAACACCATGTAGGTGACACCAAGTTCCACTGGGACAGATGCAGTCTGTCCCCTTTCTATCATGATTGTAGTGGCTTTTGTACACACTAGTGGCCCAACCTGGAACACCTGAGGAAACAGTATCTAGCTAGTTGCTGTTTTCAAAAAGTATTTTCAGTGGTATTCTCAGTTTAGACTCTCAAGTTTGAATCCTCACAAATTGGTGTCTCAGTGGATAGGGTATTGTCTGCAGGATGCCTTCCCTGTTGCCCTGTTCTCTCTTACTGTAAAGTTGGATAAGATTAGTGAGCAGTAACCCACGAATATAGTCGGAACACTATATTGTCATGACATTTCCCCCACCCCAAAATTAGTTTGTTACTTTTTAATTCAGCCTCACTCAAGTTCTCGCATGAGTAAAATGCAGCCAGATTGCTTGCTAGAATGTAACAGGAATGGTGCTACTAGGTCCCAGGACCCAGGTTTCCCTCTGGACCAACATGAGCACAGCATTCACTGTCTGCCTATGGACAGCATTCTGGTCTTCCAGACTCAGCCCATGCTGGCTTATTAAACTCTGCTTAGAGCACTCTAGGACTCCTTTTGCCTTCAACCCCAGACTCTTCCATTCCCAACCCAAAACCAGTTCCAGAGGCCTAGGAGCCATATGGTCGAGGCTATCACAGCAGCACCCAGTCCTCAGTGCCATGTTGTTCTCACAAGGGCAATCTTAGGAAAGGTTTGCTTTGGCATACAGTCAGAGGGGCACTTTTTACATGGAAGGAAGCCATGACTGCAGTGCCATGAGGCTGGCCACCTTGAATTTGCAGACAGGAAGCTGGGATGATAGCCCTGCACCGCCTCTTTTACGTGTTCCAGGACCACAGCTCTTAGAGCAGTGTGACCACACTCGGCCTTCCCACCTCGGGTGCACCTTTTTGGACAATGCCTCCATAGAAGTAGCGAGGTCAACAAAGCCCTTCACCTACAACCTGTCCTGCCTGTAAGACGTGCTGGGGCAGTGGTGACAGAACTTGTGGGAGGGGCCAAAATGGGGAAGGGAAGCAGAAGCCCAGTCCTGGGGAGGAGGATGTTTAGGGTAGGGGTTGGGTGAGTGATGCTGGGAGCGCTAGCCAGGTCCTCTTGATATGTTAATAGGCACCTCAGTTTAACCGCAACTATTTGTCCTGGACCTAAGGATGACCGCCTTGTCACCTAACAATGACCACCTTGTCACGACGACCTTGTTATGGCCACCTTATCATGACCACCTTGCTATTTTATATTCTGCTTCTGTAACTCCGCCTATTTACCTGCCAAATCCCCCATTTGGAAAGCCCCTATCCTAAAAAACCTTATCTTTTCCATGTCCAAGGCTGACCTCTTGAACCCCACCTTAGGAGGAGGCAGCCCATGTACAAAAATTTAAAAAGCTTGTTTTAATTAATTGCTTACTTTAATTAATTTGGCCATGATGATTTGGGTAGGTGGTCTTTCTCTTCACATCTTTGGGATTAACACTAGGAAAGAAAGGGGAAATACAAAATGAAACACAAGGGCTGGAGAGATGGCTCAGTGGTTAAGAGCACTGTCTGTTCTTCCAAAGGTCATGAGTTCAATTCCCAGTGACCACATGGTGGCTCACAATCATCTATAATGTGAACTGATTCCCTCTTCTGGCAGATGTTAATGCAGATAGAATACTCATGTACATAAAAAATAAATACATCTGTAAAAAAATATGCAGAAAGAGTTGTTTTTAAAAAATGAAACACAGACTTAGCCTCAGAATCTGGATAGCTTTTGAGTGTTATGACCCAACCTGAACTCACAGCTGCTTGGACAGCTGAAGCAGGGGGATCATATGTTTGAGGCCAGCCTGGGCTGTAGAGCAAAACCATATTGTGAAAGAATGAAACTGAATATATTCCACATCTGAAAGCACTTCTTCAGTTTTCCCACCATTCCCTGCTGCAAGTCTCTAGGCTTCACCTCCCCTAACTGGCCCTTTAGCTTTCTCCCCACTGCTGCCCCTCCTCCCATCTGTTCACACTACCCAAGATGCTCCTATTCAAATGAAAAGTCCACTCTTCTGACCACCAATGAAATCCCTCTCTTCTTGGAAGAAAACACCTGCCTTTCCGACCTCTCTCC